TATAAATTTATCATATAATATAATATGTTATTACATTATTTATTTTTGTGATATTATGTTTGTTATTTTTTACTTACAATATGTGTAGAGATAATTCATTCAAAATAAAACAAAAAAGGCAAGACATTTCGTTGGATTAGTTCACTAATAATTCAAATGTAACTCTACGAACTCTTTGGTCTTTACACCAATTAGTTTAGGATCTCCTTAGCGTGCTTGTTGTCTGTAGTTTTTAGATTTAATTTTTATAAAATTTTTAACTTTAAAATATTTAGTTTTATGTATGATTTTTAATTATTATTATTATTATTCAAATAAAAAATTAAAGTAATTCTAAAAATTTTTATTATGATTTTTTATATTTTTTAATTGTAAGTGTCAAAATTTTATTTTAAACAAATAATAATTTTTTTTTGAGTTTTTCTAAGCACATAATATTTTTTAAAACCAAAACTAAGAATAAAAAAACTTTTACAGTGGAATTGCGTTTTTCCCCATTATTATCATATATCATAAATACACAAGATTTACCATCTCGTTTGGTAAAAGAATAATTTTTTCTTATTCAAATTATAAAATAAAATAAAGTAAAACGCAAGAAGAGTATGACACAGAAAATTACAAAAAATAATAATATTATTGATTCCAAAACTTGTATGAATAATTATGGCTGATTAAGATACCATAATATGTTTTTGGATAAACGTATAAACCTCTCAATGTAAATATTAATTCAAGGAAAGGTTTATATATATATATATATATATATATACTCCTACTGTACTTGGTTTGGTATATATATTTTTTTTTTGTGATTTTGATTGCATAATGAAAAACAATTATATTTTATCCCTTAACTCATTTTACTCGTAGACCATATAATTTAAACTCAAAATTTTTTATTTTTAATAAAAAAAATAAATACTGAATTATTTAAATCATTGACTACTTGATTGAATAACTTTAGTCTTGTGGTTTGCCATCATAATTGGTGATATATAAGTTGAAAAAGCGATAAGTACTAAGGATTTTACCACATATTATAAGTTGTATATATTAGTATTTCTCAACTGAAAAAAAAAAGCCTTATTAAATAGATATTAGTCTCAATTGTTTTATTATTAAGTGAAAAAATACTTTAAATAATCTTATTTTAATTTACAAACTATGATACTTTATTTTTTCAATAAGAATGAATTCAAATGATGCTTTAATTTTTTCTAATGAAAATTTATTTAAATGACATAATTTTTAAAATATTTTTTACTAAATTTTTTACATGTCAAACTA